TAAGGCATTAGATGTCTTAATTACAAATCGCCCCAGACTGAACGAATCCTTTCCCTAAGTCTCCCCCAATTCTCGCTCTGCTGAGAAGAAGTGACATTCATTTCAGCCACAAAATCATCATCAACCTCTAGCTTCTTGTACTGCTTGACCAAAGACTTGGTTCGCTCAATTCCTTGGAAGGCATTGCATTTTTTGGCAGTCATTCTCGCCTTGCAGTCGCCCATCTTTGCTTGAAGCTCCTTCATCTGTGCAGCCAAACTAGTTATCAAAGAGTCTTCAATCATGACTTCATAAGAGATTTCTTTCAATTCGTCCTCAGCTTTGTTGAACTCCAGAAGCAAAGATTTTCTTTCAGATACAGCGCGAAGATATTGAGTACTTTGGGCCTTCAGTTCAACATTTTTGGCCAGCAAGGAGAGAATCTCGGAATGGACAACTTTCAACGTCGCTTTAAAATCAGTAGAAAGATTGAGCGACGAAAGTGCCAGTGCTTGCTCCAACTTCACACTCAAATGCTCAAGCTTATCCTTATGTTTGGCAACACTAGCCTGACCGATGTCCATATCCATAAAGGACACATACTCAAATATCGACTGCTTGAGGAACTTCATATCTTCCTTTGAAGAAGCAGAAGGATGACTGGTTGAAGCAGGACGTCTTGGCTTGCCCCAGGAAGTGAACAAGTCCTAGATGGAACGCACAATCTTATCAGCATCCTGCAAAGAAAGTTGCCAACATTGAAGTTTTTCACTACAATTAAAAAAGTGGAAGTAAAAGTGAAGCAAAGATTACCTCATCAGCAATTTTGGGAGGTGGAATATCCCCAGCCAAATCTATCACCTGTGGCTCCACCACTTGTGAGGATTTCCCCTAGTCTGAACGAGAAGACCTTGCCACAACGGGCAAACCCATGGGAGCATCTGCAAAACTCAAAGCAACAAATTAAAAACTAATAGCACAAGCAAAGGTAAAATATCAAAAAATATATTACCCTCTAGTTCAACGTTTGGGGGGTTGACGCCCTGAGAAGAAGGTGGCTCATCCATTGGTTGTGATGAAGGTTCCGGGACTGAAGGTGTCTCTTTAAGCGTAGTCCCTTCATCAACTAGTTTGGATGAAGCAACCTTAGCAGAAGGTGATGAAGCAGGAGCTGCCAACACCAAAGCCTTCAAAGGAGAGGCTGAGCTCTTCTGAGAAATCCGAATAAGCCATCAGCACATAGAAAAGTTCCAAGTATAGAAAGGTATGCTTGTGAGTAAACTAATTTAATTACCTTTCTCCTGACAATGAGAGCAGTGTCATCATCATCATCATCATCATCTTCCAAAATGGGAGATGTTGAGGCTGGCCATTTGCGGCTTGGGGCACTCTTAGCTGCAGTAGGCTTGGCAGGAAGAGAAGTAGATGGACGAACAGACTGTTTAGCGCGAACGGAAGAGGAGGGACTCTTAATGGACATGGGGGTGACCAAAACAGGAGAAGTGGAAGAAATGTCTGACCGATTCGGTGAATGGAAAGCGCGATTGGCATCAGTTGCAAACAATCTGCGCTGCACTGATGACCAGAGTTGTTCAAAAAGGGGATGGGGGTTGCACACAATCAAAATATCATGGAACAACTCCCTCCCGGTCAAAAACTGAACCCAAACGAGCAGAGAGGTGCTCGCGCTGTCCAGAGTGGATGGGGGTTGCACATAATCTGGAGTTTAAAAGGGAGGAAAAGGAAAGAAAGAAGGAAGTGAATTCAAAGTATAAAAGAATGAAAAAATGTCCCTTCTGGACATATTTACAGGGCTCAGTGGGCCAATAGCTAGCCCATAGCAGCTAGCGGAAGGAAGGGAAAAGGATAGAGCACCAAGTGAGGGAACATAGGCTCTCAACCACATTTGAGTGAACCAAAGAGGCCCACTGCCAGCGGGAGATGCACCATTCTTCAATTGGAATTGGAGAGAAGCTATGCCTCTATAGAGGGCAACCAAAAAGAAAGAACACAAATTCAGGGGCCTGCCACGCGCCAATTCGTGCGCTATAGGTAAATGGCTCATAGAAGGCTTCATGCTTGGCACACACAGAACATATTTATAAAGCCAAATCTGAAAAAAGGCCACACGCTCAGCATGGGAAGACTCAATGCTCGAGTGATTATAATAGCTTTGCAGGCTTGAATAGGACTCGGTGACTTTTCTGTCAAATTTTGGGACGACACCAGAAATCAAAATACCAGGGAAAATGGTATCGCCCAAAGGTGGCAAATTTATCAAGGCCCTAACATCCCTTAAAGTAATGGACATGGGACCAAGACGGAAAACAAAAGTATTAAACTCAGAGGACCAAAAATTTAATGCAATAGGGAAAAGCGCTGAATCAAAAATAGGGGGTTGAAGAGAGATTTCTAACAAATAAAAAATCCTAGCACTATCAAAATTTGTCTGGGTAGGACCATGGTCTACAAGGTGAGCATGTCATCTACGGAAAACGACATCAGATTTAGGCCAAGTGCGAATACCTCTTTCGCAAAGCGGCCTCAGCGGCAAAGAGTTAAGAAACGGAGGGCCTTGAGTACAAGGGAACAGCTGGCCCACCACCACTTGTCCGACGGCCTCGACGTTGTTGAATGAAGGACCTAGATAGAACTCATTGAGTTCGACATTGGCTGGTGCGAGGAAGTTCGGACTTATATATGACCGAGTGAGGATCCTCTGCAAGTCTTGAAAACTGAAAGAGTCGCTAGATTGGGATTGTAAAGCAGCCATTGGGAACGAAATAAAGTTTTGTTGAGGTTTGCTTGAGAAACATAGCAAAGAAGCAAGAAGATGAACAGTAATATTGCGAGAGAGAAGCGCAGAACAATGAGGCGTGATTTAGTAGTGCGATAAAATGACGTATATTTGGGGGTTATAAGTGTTTGCAACGTCGCACCTTTTCAGGCTATGGAAGAAAATAATGATTGAAATTCTTGGGAATTTCAAATGTTGCTGGGAAACACAAAGTGAGTATGGCAAAAATTAATAATTGGTATTAATTCTACCATATTGGGGGGTACTTGTTGACATGCTAAAAGTGCAGCCTAATTCGAATAGCCCAAAGAATGAAGCCCAACTGGGCAATTCAAGATGAAGGCCCAAATAGGGTTATTAATGAATGCAGTGGAAGCCCACGAACGCGGTAACACCATCGCCCAAGATCTGAGCGAATGAACTGGACGCCCAAGATCTGAGCGAATGAAGTGCCTTGCAGTCGTCTAGAGTTATAACCCCGTTCTCGCCCAAACCTTCAAATTGCCCAGGATCTTAGCAAACATAAGGTATTATGGTTATCCAAAAGTACAGTTATCGAAACAGTTATTGGGTAATCTTATCACGTTCCGCGATTCAAGAAGTTCAGTTGAAGACGGTTGAATGATAAAGAGTAGTGGCCAGCATTTAGAGACGATAGTCCATGATAAGTTGGCCACCATGAAGAAAGTGGGCAGTTATAAAGTAATTGAGCAGTTTCTAAGCGGTTCATCACAAAGAGAGCATCAAAGTAATATAAAAGAGAGAAAAGACATAGAGCAAAGGACCCTAAATCAAATACTCTCAAACAGAGAATACGTAATTTCAATTTCTTAGTTTAGATTTAAACATTTCTTTCAGTACTCGTGTGCTTGCACCCCTTGAAGGCATTCTGTTTAAATTCCAATTGTAAAGTCATTGCCAATAAAACACCCCTTTTTGGGACTTTGTCTCAAGAGATTTGTCCCCTACACAATCATCTGATCCCTTTTTAATTGTTAGCGACTACCCACGCGAAACAGATTTCTTCTCTTTTATGAACTTTGGTATTAGGTTTCTACATAGGCACACCGAAAGAAATGTTATGGATCATAAATATTATTTTCACTATAACTGCATGCAAACTGGCAAAAAGAAAGGAGCAACCATAGTAAGCTTGAATGCAATATAATACGTAACAAAATTACTTACCATTAGTGGTCTATCTTATGATAATTTTTGTTTTATCTTATTTTAAAAGGAAAAAGAAAATGAGCATTTTGTCCACATCTAAAATGTATTGTAAATGTTGCCTTAGACACATTACCTGATAGCATATAGTTCTGATACATGTATCTACTCTATGTCCTCAGTATTGCAAAAAAAAATCAAAGAAGAGGGAAGAAACTCACTTCTGAAATAAGATAAAAGTTTGACTTTGATAAAAAGGTAAAAAGGAAATATAATGCCAACTGCCAAGCAGATTTTATCCTTTCTGATTTCAAAACATAACAAGATGTAGGAGAAAAAGAGGCCAAAAATGTTATCATGTACCCACCCCAAGACCTGTTGAGTTAACATCAGGAACATTTGAAGCCATCACATGAATTGTCCACTTCAGTCCTAAGCCAAACACCCAATTCCATTAGATGCTAGAGAAATAAGTCTAGCTATATTTCATCTTCCATCCACCCAGGCTGGCTCCCCTACCCACCAAAGTGTGTCACTGTACATCAGAATGTCTCCATTCAACATTAACTTATCAAAGACATCTATCATACTTCTTCGAACACAACTAGGCATACCTTCTTTGCAGGAAAATATAGTCATCTATGGTCAATATCTGATAAGAGTCAGAAATATGCAAGTCATAGCAGAGAATGGCATTTACTTCGATGCTACAATTACTTACCATTAGAAGCCTCGGAAAGTCCCATGGACAAAATTGATCTTGTTTTCTTTGATATCTCCGACAGTTTCTCTAATTCCAATGTAAAAGGAAGGGCAAAATTTACCATCTCCCATAGTGGAAGGGAAAACAGAAACATATCTACACACAATACAAATTTCAAAGGACACTAGAAAACAACATTTTATCCGAGCATTACTTAGTCACACCTTCACGAGGCGTTTTGAGGTGCAAATCAATAAATAATTCAAACGAAAATAAAATACAAAAAATATTCTCATAATAAACGAGAAACCATCTTAAATAACCAATAATAAAGAAAATTAGCAAAAATTAAAAGTCTAACTTGCAAACAAACATAAAAATAGATAAATAAGGTAACACATTATAAGTTCTCAATTAGTAATCACGCAACAAATTTGTAATCTACCACTATAAGTAGAAACAACCAAGAAGTCTCCTATTTCATCACTGTTAAAAAAACTTTAAGAGAACCATTGACATTGAAGTGGTGGCGAAACAACACCCTTCTATCCGTCTGGTGGCGTTCGGCGTTCCGGCTTCTCCGTCAAGTGTGTGTGACCTGAAAAACGAAGGCAGGGCTTCCTCCCCCGTTTTACCTTCGGCGTGAGAATTAGTTTATAGACTTGGGAAAAAAATGTGACTGGAATTCAGATGGCTAAGAAAAGAGAGAGATCCTGTATCACATCCGGAAGTATTTATAGCTATTGGGAGCTAGATAACCGCTGGGCGGTCGTGGTGCCACGTGTCCCACGTTGACATTCCTGCTAACCCCACGTTCTGAGTGGGAGCTCTCTAACTTCCCGCTTAGAGGTTGCGCCCGTATTAACCACCATGGAACTTAATGAATTCACTAGAGGTTTTATGGCTAAGTGTTTGGATAATCGTATAGGCAATTCCATACCAGTTGAAGACTTTGCGTGGAGGTAGAGCGACCTTGGGAGGGTTGACGGCCTCGCGTAGTGGTAGAGCGCCCCCTGGGGGTAGTGGTAGAGCGTCCCTGGGGGGTCGATGGCCGTACATGGTGGCAGAACACCATTTGGGGATAGTGGTAGAGCACTCCTTAAGGGTCGATGGTCTTGCATCGAAGTGCAGCGATCCCTCTTGCTTATCGCCGAGGGTGGCTTCCTCTACCAACCTATATCATAAGCCCCTACCCCTTGTCAATGTTTTCGACAAGGGGTAGCAATTTTCTTTATCTGGGTTGGTTTGATTTTGTTTTTAATTGAGTAGTTCGTATTAACAAGTCGAGCAATGCAATCGAAATCAAGTAGCAATTTTACTGTACACATGGCACCCCATCAATTAACATCCTAGGCTTTCTCCATTCTAAAGTAATTTTTTCTCCTTTTTAATCCAAAGTCTTGCTTTGAGTTTTTGCTCTCTTCATCTTTTTTTGTTGCCATGTATAGGACTATTCTTTCTTCTCCTTCCAATGAGAATAGTGATGGGGGTGTAGTGACTCGATCGGACCTTCATCTGAGGGTACCGGAGGGGGTCCGACCGGCCCACGGGGTGGCCGACCAGTGAGTAGCGGGGCTAGTCCATCGACCAGCCCCGTGGCTGGTTGAGCGTCTGCCAGCCTTCGGGCTGGCCATCCCCCAGCTTCTCTTGATCTTCGTGGCCCATCCGGCCCCTCGACCCAACTCGCTAATGATTCGCCCCCTTCGTCCGGTAGATCTCATTATGACATTAATAGTGAAACTCATTCATCGGTTCTCAGGCGTTTGTCCCAAATTCCCCTAAGAGGCCCAATAGTTCTACCAAGTTTCCAAACCAAAATTTAGAAATTGGGCGAGACCCGGCTGGTGAGGTTGTCCCTTTAGTAATCCCAAAAAGTTATAGTCTATACAGTTCCCCCCCCTCCTTAAGTTGGAAAAATGTCTACGTAAGTATGACTGGGTTGATGATTACATCTATAGAGCCCCCAGTCCTAAAGAAAGACTCCCTGGTCCGACCCCCGCGAGGTAGCCGTGTACAAGGATGCTATGGATGGGGGTTTTCGGTTCTCCATTCATCCCTTTTTTGTGTCAATTTTTAATGAGTTCCACCTTACTTCTAGTCAAATAAATCCCAACGCGTGGAGAAAGGCACTATATTTCCTATTTGTTTGTCTCAGAAGGAAAATATCACTTTCCATAGACCTTTTTAGGTGCGTCTTCGAAATGCATGAGCTGGTTCAGTGTAATGCATTCATCTATTTTACCACCAGAGTTGCAATTTCCTAAATTTAGAAATTCGAATAGCGGATGGAAATCCCAGTTCTTCTTCACTCAGCCTTCAGCAGGTCGGTTCTCTTTCAACACCAATTGGTGACACCCCCAAATTCCTCTCTTTAATAGCCAAGTAGAAGTTACCCTCTTTCTAAAAGCTCAAATCCAAGAGTTGGTTGATGCACCGCCTCTCGCACCTGACTTAGGATCAGTCTTAACCATGAAGAACATGTTGATAGTGGGGATGAGTCGTCCTACTAGTAGGTTGTTTCCGTCGATTTTTTTTTTATCGCATGCACACACGCTCATTTATTATTTTTTGCTTTTAGTTTTTCAGGACTAATGAGTTTGGGTTTGTGCATACCGATATGGACTTTGATCTTGATGAGGTATTGAAGACCCTACCAGGAGGTGATGAGGGCCCTGCTCCCGTTGATGGTAAGCTTTTGTGTTCACCTCCGCCTTTTTTTTATCCTCATGCTCTTGTACCTTGCAATTTTAACGGATTTTAACTTACATGTGTAGAGGCAGAGTTTGATCTTGAAGGGATTATGGATTCCATGCCTGACCAGGGGTAGGGGGATGGGACGGATCCATCACCTATCCCTTCAAAGAGAAGTAAGGCGGCCGACCAAGGGGGAGGTCTCGAGCGATCAACGAGACCTCCCAGCCTTCAGTCAAGCCTCGTGAGGTGGCTCCAGCTCCTAGGCCGGGTGCTTCCAGCCGTGCACGGTGTGAGCGCGAGGATTCATTTCCCAACTTTGGGTTTCCTCCCACCCGGGGCTATCATGAGATGGGGGTGCTCAAGTCTTTGGTGACGCCCGCTCGAGCTAGAGCAATTGCAGGGCGTAGTGCAGACGATATTGAAAGGGCTGCTGCTATTTATCTCCAGAGGGTATGTTTTCAATTTCGCATTTTCTTTTATGTTGGGTCTTGCCTTTTAGGCTTGGTTTTAACGCTTGACTTTTATTTTACCCCCTCATTTCTTAGGTGGTAGCCCTCCGGACTGACTCGCTGAATCGAATCGTCGCCTGGCCTCGAAGTTGAAGACTCTTACTGAAGAAAAGAAAAAGGAGGCTCATCATTACAAGAAAAAGATATCCTCCTTGAAGAAGTCTCTAGAGACGTTGGATGCTCGAGCTCGTGAACAGGAGACGGAGAATGACAACTTGCGTTTTGTTTTGGCTCGCGCTCTGGAAGAGGCGATTGAGAGGTATAAGGCTTCAGCTGAGTATGCCAGAGATCTCGAGGTATCTGTGAAGGAGTATAAGACATCGTTTGATTATGCTAAGGCTTTGAATTCATATGGGAGGAAGGCGATGGCAGCGTCTATCGAACTCTTCAAGGAGTGGATTATGGTCGAGAATCCTTCTATAGACCCATCTGGTCTAGATAGATTTCTTGCGCAGCGCAAGGGGAAGGAGAGTGGAGCACAGTCATCCAGCTCGCTTGGACGTTCATCACGAGGTGGTAGTGGAGATGTCTCCCCTTCGAGCTGAAGCATTTCTTAGTTGTTGTTCCCTTTGCTAGCTTTTCCTTTTTTGTGTTTACTTTTGTTTAGTCTCATTATCTCCTACTTGTCCGGGGTGTGGGCAAGAATTTCTCATATGTATAAATACATTTTCCGTTCGCTATTATTAGTGCTTAGTGCATTGTTATTTCAACTTGCCGTCTCTCATGTCGTCCCTCTTCTTTTTCCTTTCACTATTTGATGGTGTGGGAGAGTGACTTTTTATCAGGCTAGAGTTCAATGGTCAATGGCCCTAGCCAATTTTAGCCTTGTGTTACCCCATGCCTAGCCACGCAAGCTATGTCGACCGTTGGGAAAAGGGTCTAGCAGTTAAGAGCCTTAGACAATTTTTGGCTTGTTAAGGCTCTCCACCTAGCCGCGTAGGCTATGTCGATCGTCGGGAGAGGGGTCTAACGGTTAAGGGCCTTAGTCGATTTTTGGCTTGCTAAAGCTCTCCGCCTAGCCGCGTAGGCTATGTCGACCATCAGGAGAGAGGTCTAGCGATTAACGGCCTTAGCCGATTTTTGGCTTGTTAAGGCTCTCCGTCTAGCCACGTAGGCTATGTCGACCATCGAGAGAGGGGTCTTGCGGTTAAGGGCCTTAGCCGATTTTTGGCTTGTTAAGGCTCTCCGCCTAACCGCGTAGGTTATGTTGACCGTCAGGAGAAGGGTCTAGAGGTTAAGGGCCTTAGCCAATTTTTGGCTTGTTAAGCTCTCCGCCTAGCCGCGTAGGCTATGTCGACCGTCGGGAGAGGATTCTAGCGGTTAAGGGCTTTAGTCGATTTTTGGCTTGTTAAGGCTTTCCGCCTAACTGCGTAGGTTATGTCGACTGTATGTCTTCGTGGGATGGGAGGGTCTAAGACTGCATATCAATACATAAAAATACTTGGATTCGTGAGCTCAGTAGGCACACTGGGACATCCCAACTAGGTTGGCCCTTCCTTAGCGCCCTCATCACTTGCTACTACCAAGATTTTTCATTGAATAAACAAATGCAACTAAGGGTGCCTTCGTGAGGTATTACATAGAGAGAATTAACAAGGCAATCTATCTACTGTATTTACAAAAACGTAGCCCATGCGTCTATTCTAAAATCTAGTGGTAGTATTTTTTGAGGTACTCTACATTCCACGGTCTACCCAGTGGTCGTCCCTTCATGTCTTTCAAGCTATAAGCCCTCTTTCCTAGGCTGCGGATCACTTCATACGGGCCTTCCCAGTTTGGTTCAAGTTTTGGTGGGGGTGTCCTGCTGTTGTCACTTCTTTTAACACGAGGTCCTATGGTTGAAAGATTCTTAGTTTCACTCTCCGATTGAAGTATTCGGCGACTCTCCATTTATAGGCCATCATCTTTATTGCCGCCTTCTCCCTTACTTCTTCTAGTAAGTCGAGTTCTCCTCTGGTCGAGGTATCATCAGGCTGTCTGACTTTCATCCTACCTATCTCACTCAAAATTTCAAATGGGACTACATCTTCCATCCCGAAGGTTAGTCTGAATGGTGTCTCCCCGGTCAGCTCTCGTGGAGTCGTGTGGTATGCCCACAACACATTGGGTAGCTCGTCTACCCAAAGCCCCTTCTCCTTTTCCAATCTGGTCTTCAGATCCTCGAGAATGACTCGGTTGGTTACTTTAGCTTACCCGTTCGATTGTGGGTGAGCGACCGAAGTCAGTCTATGGTCGATGTGATAACTTGCACAAAAAGTCTTGAAGCTATGATTGTCAAATTGTCTGACGTTATCTGTCACCATTACCCTAAGTATCCCGAATCGACATATTATATTTTTCCATACAAAACCCTGTACTTTTGCAATTCGTGATGGTCGCAAGTGGTTTTGCCTCTACCCACTTGGTGAAGTAGTCGATGGCGACCAACAAAAACTTCCTTTGTCCCTTGGCTAAAGGTAGAGGCCCTAAAATGTCCATCCCCCACTGAAAAAATGGGCACACCCCAAAAATGGTTGCCTGTTGCTCAGTTGGGACGTGGATTAAATTTTCGTGTCGTTGACATGTGTCACACTTTCTTACTAATCCAATAGTAACCTTGCCGTGGAATTTTGAAAGCAAGGGATGTTGTCCCTTGGTGGTTACCACAAGTCCCAGCATGTACCTCAAACAGTATCTCTTTAGCTTCCGAGGGTCGTATGTACTTCAGATATGGCATGGTGAAACCCCGCTTGTAAAGTTTCCCATCAATGATGGTGAATGAGGCTACCCCAAGCTCTCAACCTCCATGCTTCAAAGGGATCTTCCAGTGTTTTATTTTCTGTGAGATATTTGATTAACAGATCCATCCAGTTTTCCTCGTACTCAATATTTTTCACCTCGACCCAGCGTTGGATGCTGGGTTGTTGTAAGACTTGCACGTTCGCTGTTTGCAGCAGATTTCTTGGGTTTACCGTGCGAGTTTCGCTAGCGCGTCTGCCTGCTCATTTTCCTTTCGTGGGACCTTTGTCATCCTAAAGCTCGCGAACCCCCTTTGCAGATCCCTTACTTTCATCAGGTAGGCTGCCATCTTCCCATCCTTAGCCTCATATTCCCCCGACACCTGTCCAACTATCAACTGCGAGTCACTGCAAACCTCTATTTAAGATACCCCCAGCCTAGCTGCTAGAACTAGGCCTGTGATTATTGCTTCATACTTAGCATCGTTGTTAGTGGCGGAGAACTCGAAACGCAATGAGTATTCCAATTCCTTGGAGTCTGGCCTAATCATTATGATTCCTACCCCTGATCTTTCCGTATTTGAAGAACCGTCCACAAAAACCTTCCAATCTATCTTTTGCCCTTCTGGGGGTTCTGCTGGGGTGGTAAGCTCAGCAATGAATTCTGCCAGAGCCTGCGCTTTGATGGCGGTCCTTGCCTTGTATTCAATGTCAAATTCTCTCATTTCGAATGCCCATTTCAGCAGCCTTTCGGACATCTCTGGTCAATGTAGGATCTGCTTGATGGGTTGGTCGATCATCACTTGTACCATATGGGACTGAAAGTAAGGCCTCAATTTTCTGACCGCAACGATTAATGCGAGCACCAGTTGTTCGGCCAGACTGTACCTCGCTCTGCGCCTTTGAGGACCTGACTGACATAGTAGACTGGTTTCTATGCCTTAGGGAATTTCTTTACGAGAACTGCACTGACTGCCCGTGGCGACACTACGAAGTAGAGACATAGTATGTCCCCAGGGCATGGGCTGGTCAATATGGGAGGCTGCTGTAGTGACCTCTTCAAGGATTTCAACGACTCCTCGCACTCTTGAGTCCACTCAAAATTTGTAGAGTCCCCAGTGGCTTTAAAGAAATGGTAGCACTTATCCGCTGTCCGGCTCATAAAAAGGTTAAGGGCTGCCACACGCCTTGTCAGCCGCTGGACCTCCTTCCTACTAGTGGGGCTTCTTATTTCAAGTATTGCCTGTATCTTATCGGGATTCGCCTCAATACCTCGCTGGGTGATCATAAACCCTAAGAACTTTCCATCGGCTGTACCAAAAACACATTTTTCGAGGTTGAATTTCAGATTATTCTGTTGGGCTATATTGAACACTCTCTGCGGACAGGTCACGTGGTCGACGGCCTTCATACTTTTTACCACCATGTCATCGACGTAGGCTTCTATGACATTTTCAATCAACTCCTGGAAGACCCTATTCACTATCCTCTGGTAAGTTGCCCCTGCATGGCAGTGTAATAGTAGTTCTAGAATTTGTGATGAATGACATCTTCTCTTGGTCGCACTTAGCCATAGAGATTTGATGATACCCCGAGAAAGCGTCTAGGAAGTTGAGCCTCTCATGACCCGACGTGGCGTCGACAAGGTGTTCTATCCGTGAGAGCGGGTATGAGTCCTTATGGCATGCCTTATTAAATCCAGTGTAATCTACGTATATGCACCACTTCCCATTTGACTTTTTTACTAGCACAATGTTGGCTAACCATTCGGGGTACCGTACCTCTTGGATGAAACATGCTTGCAGTAGCTTTTCCATTTCCACCCTTGCTATTTCTTGCCTTTCGGGGGTGAGGTTCCTTTTCTTCTGCTTTACTGGTTTGGCTCTGGGTAGAACTCCGAGGTGATGTTGAGCGAGTGCTGGGCTGACCCCTGTGATATCACTTGGGCTCCATGCAAAGACGTTTAGATTATCTGTCAGGCACCTTACCAGCTTCCCTTTTTCTTCAGAGTCCAACTCGGCCCCGATGCTGACCTCGCCACCCTTCATTATGGAAATCTTTTCGATCATGTTAAGTGGCTCAATCCGCCCTCTCGGAGGTTCGACTTATAACATCATGACTGATGGGGCTCTTCTGACTGATATAATGTCGACATAACATTTCCTAGATGCTTGCTGATCCTCCCACACACACCCGACTCCCCTGCTGGTTGGGAATTTCAGGACCTAGTAATAGGTCGAGGGGATAGCTCTAGCTGTGTTGAGTAACGGCCGACCGCAGATTGCATTATAGGCCATAGGGGTCTTAACGACCAAAAAGCTTGCCACAAGTACCACAGTGATTGGGTATGTGCCTAGCGTGACCGGGAGCTCCACAGTACCTTCTGGAATCACCGTGGTTCCTCCAAAATCTTGCAAGGGGGTGTTCACAATTTTTAACTTGTCAGGTGGGACCTTCAGGCCTAAAAAAGCGTCCGAGATGAGTACATTTGCGGCACTTTCCCCATCGACCAATACTCTTTTGACGTCAAAATCAGCTATGTCGCCACTATTACTAGGGCATCATCGTGGGGGTGTGCCACGTCTACCAAGTCTTCCTCGCCAAAAGTGATGCTCTGGCTGAACCTTGCATTCTTTTGGATGGAGCAGATCCCGAGAGAGCGTGCGTAGCTTTTCCTTGTCGAATTTGAATCTCCACCTCCTGCTAACCCTCCTATAATCATGTTTGTCACTCCAGCCCTAGGTGGGGGACAGTCCTCCATCTTTTGCTTCCCCCGGTTGTCCTTCACATATTTGCCCAGGAGACCCCACCTTAGAAGGCGCTCGATCTCCTCCTTCAGTTGAAGACACTCTTCAGTATCATGCCCCTAATCTTTTTGGAAATGATAATATCTGCCTTGGTTTCTTTTGCCCGCTGGCATTACCATGGGTCTCGGCCATTCTAGCT